GGCAGACAGGAGTAGAAGCGCTTTTGATGGGAAGGCATCTATCTTATATGCACATGGGATTGGTATGGTTTTTGAATTGTCTTCACGGTCTTTGATGGAAAAAGCTCCATAGACATTGGAAAACAATACCAATCTTTCTACTCTTAATCATTTGTAAAATTACGTTTTTGAGGTACGATGACAGTAGATGTGTTCGGCCACACAAATTATAGGTCGTTGGTTGGTTTGACAACCAATACCAGTCGACGACTACCACCACCGTCTTTCTGGAAAAACGCTTTCTCAAACGAGTGTAAAAATCTTTTTGATTTAGCAATGCCTAGGAGGTTTGATCACGGTTGGAATTATTTGGATATCCTATTAACATTGATTTTTTTTTACCACCAAAGGCACTTTTCTATTTTGGATCAGAACATGAAGTTGAGATAGAAATGGAAACCACCATAGCAGGACTTGGTGGTCCACGACCCTGGACTAAGTTGAGATATCCAGAAGTGTCCAAGTTTTAGGCAATAACAACTTAATCGGTTTGTCGTAGTGGAGGAAATTGACTGTGAGCTTCAGTTATTCCAATGCGAAACCTTGAAAGTGAATTTTGATGGACTCGATTCAAAGCATTTTTCATAAGATTACGGAATAAAACCCAACAAAATGGGATAATGGGATGATGAGACTCAACCAGGTCGAAATAGCCGTCCAGGGCTTCTCAGCTTTTCGGCTCATGCCTCATTTACACGACGGATTCATCATATAAAAAATGAAAACCTTTAAATATTTTCCACCTGGCCGCTTTCTCGTACTCTTATATTGCCATCCGAGTAGAAATGAAACTGAGCTCCGGTTGAAAGGAGATATCGAGTTATTACCGATCATACGCTTTAGTTATTGTAATCTAAGCTTATGTGGACTATAAGTATCATATTACAGTAGTTAATCGCACAATGTTCCATGACCGGTATGCATATCGTCATTGGGGGGCATGCACACAAATGTTTTATTTACTTCTTTCAATGTACGTATCACTTCAGCCTCTTTCTTGAATTCATTTGTGTTGTTGTATGTGTTTCAGCTCGTGAAGCCGCTCGGGTAGCGGCTGCCCAACGTGCCCAGGCAAAGCTCCTGGCAGCCAGACAGAAAGGTCCCGGGAAACCGGGCACGAAAAGAAGCGAAGCGAAACATGCAAAAGCGGAAGCCCAGGCCAAAAGCAAGTCCGTGTCTGCCTCACCGAACGCGGATTCGAGTACCGCTAGCAATAAACCGGCCACTGATACTTGATGGATCATCATCAGTTGTATTGGCAGGGGTTTTTGAGTTGTTGGATCTGGTTTCCCCAGTTATTCTCAGGGGAATGGGAGCGTGTTCCGGAAGTCTTTCCTGAGCCCTATCAATATTCAGTCCATCATCGCATGCCCGCGTTGCCACAAACCTTTCTCTCCCTCCCCTTCTCTTCCCCCGCGTCGACCGAACTATGATGCTTCGGATCAGACAGTGCGAAGAGTGTTCTCTTTATCGCCTTTGTACTACACTTTGCTATGTTCCCGTCTCCAAATGAAACATTGGGCATATGTATGTTCTGCGCATACTCCGATTGCCACCGTATTCCCCAGATCAAGATTGAATGTAGTTCGATTGTCTCAGTTTTCGACTAATCTTTCATCTCACATGCAGCTCTTGTTGTTGCCGGCTTTTGTTGCCCAATCAGCGGACGTTCTTCCGTATTATCCCAAAGTTGGATGATAGACAGTCCGTTCTACTTTGAATTGCGTTCCCATCACCGTATTTTGGGTATGTCGTTTGATCCTTGAAGCGGTATATATGACCAAATGATTGTTTTTTCCCATTTAATCCGCATTCTTCTGTTCTCCCACCCCCATTTTTTGTCTGTCTCCATCATGCCAACTCCGAACCCCACTTGCTCCGAGTAACGCATAATTTCCAATGCTGTGGGGCGATTTTTATAACCTGTGCATCATTTATAATCGAGAGTACAGTCTTGAAAAACTATTTATTGCCTGATATTTAGTATGAAATAACGCATACTCACGTTTTGTGAATCGCAAACAAATCCGCTGGGCACGACGATTACCCGGTAAAGGTAGAATATGTGGTACAACTGTCCTACCGTTTTTACCGTGTGGTACAGAGACAAGGTCGTACGGGAGAAAGGCATCAGAGCGGGTATCTGTGTTGAAGCACTGCTGTTCATGCTTTATGTCACCAATTTTAAGGGGAAAATCACACTAGCAATATCGGGTTGTGGATCGTCGCCGTCACACTGGCGTACTATGCGGCTTCCATAAATTGCGATAGTGTTATGTCTTATGCTAAGACGTATGATCGATACGGGTGCCTCTTATCTAGGCCCCAACAATTGCAGAAAGAACACGGCTGAGAAACAACAGTTAGGGTGTATTGTTGATCATTCAACAACACGCAGATATATGTGGTAAAATTGGGCGTACAAGAAAAGATGTGATGACGCGCCAATCGGATCGTGACCTTGTCACTCAGATTGATCAATCGGACGACAGCTATTTGATTCGCTCCGTCCTAACAGATAGTTAGGTCCGTTTTTGCGCGTCTCAACGAATAGAATTTCTGAGTTTAATGTTTGTTGTATTCAGTTAGAGTGGGTGAGTGAATGCCAAGTATGATCACCGACCTTGCATGAGAATATTAAAACTTTGACAGGGGTTTTTGATCAAGGCGGTTTCACTAGGCTTCTTGGTTGGATACCTCTGGACTAGGAACAGTAAAAGCTGAGTGTCGTAACCCTTGACGCTCGTGCATCTGTCCTTCACCTGTATCTGATTGAAGCTCTTGAGAAATTTATCGTGATATTGTTCTCATATCCATACTGATCCGCTTTCTCCTACCTCCTCGGTTAACTAAATGAATTGGGGAAAAACACATTCACGACGGAGTAGGGCTATTCGGTACCGGAGTGGCAACCGTTTTGTGGTATGTGATCGGGGTTGGAGGAATACATCTTTGGTTTGTTCGCGGCGTCGTGCAAGTTGATGACAACCACTCGAAGCCTATGCTAATCTTTTCCCCTGGTGGCGCTTATCGGAGTTGTTATCGTTCTTTTTCACACGTGTCGGGGACTTCCTTCCGATCGGTTTTTCTGATGGATAGCTATACATGGAAAACAGAATTCATACGAATGGCTTTCGGAATAGAATACCCGAAGAGATCGTCCGTCACACCGATCCGAACAATTCTATTGGAATGGAGTTTAGCTGATGGCTTCGTTCCAATCGATTTTCGTACTGTGTATTTAGATGCGTGCACCACAGCACGAAATCGTTAGTTTAGGTATTAGACGCATCAAGTCCAGCTGGATAATGCTCACGTTCTCGATGTCATACAATCGCGGGGCGACGGGGGAAACAGTTTATTTGAAAGCTGAACTGACCTGTAATCAACTTGCACGACCACTGACCGTGCACCTCTGTACGCCGATCACGTTGTTGGTCTTTCACCTGCCCGTTTTTTGTTCGACCGACGCGGTCTGAGCGCACTATCAAAATAGAGAAAGTTAGGTAGCCGGACGCGCATAAATAGCGAGAAGACGGAAGAACGCCACTTTTTATGATATTCAACTGTAATGTTACGCTCTGCACAATCCGCTTCAGTGAAGGTGAGATATCGCGCCCGACGCTAGAGAAACACCTATTTAGTCTTGATTACTTAGTTGGATATCATCTCCTGGCCCCTACCCCCACCAACAGTCAATCAACTTCCCGAGGTAAGAAGAAGCGTTTGCTCACTTCCAGAGAACAGAAGTACAAGTGCCCCAACCTTGGAGCTTATACTTTGAAAGTGCATAACACGTCCATTTTTCAGCAGTTTAATCCATTTCACATTGCTCTTGCGTTTGTCATTAAGAAAAACAGCATCATCATCAACCTACTCCGAATTTACGTCTTTTCGCAGAAACATCGGTCTGGTGCAATTCAGCAGCCTATGGCTTATCACCCAGAGTCGTTCTCACTGACC